AAATTAACATAACTAATTGATCTAATAAGATAAATTAATTTACTACTATTTAACAACAATATTTTTTAATAAGTTATAATATTTTTTTCAAGATATTATACACATGCTAAAGCAATAAATAATAAAATTTTTATAAATTCTCAATTTTGATACCAAAAAAATATACAAATATAATAATCTGAAAATTTTTTTTCAATTCTCACTAATTATTAAACCTGGATTTTAAAATATTAAAGAAAAAAATATACTGTATACATTAAATATAAATTAGAACATTAACGTGTAATCTCATACGTACATTAATGTTAACCAGAACTTAATTCCTTGTGATGCTGATCAAATAATACATGAATTTACTGTATTATGGCAGATTTTTGTAACTCTTTGTTGAGCGGAATTCAGTTTTTAACTATTATGCCTATTCTTAACAGTTGATTAGTTTCTTTAAGAAACTTTCTTAAATCTTTTGAAGTTGCTTTTGAATTTGTTGATTGATTAATTGAAATCAAATTCATTAATAGAAAACTGAATGTGTCTCAAATTTACAAATTAAATTGTTCTAAAAATACAATTAAGAATTCTTTTGAGCGTTCATATTAAAATCACTGAATTCTATTCAATAGAAATACTTTGCAATTCAATCAAAAGTCCAAATTATAATACTGCTGCATTTCAAATTTGTCCAATAAAAAAAGAATTTAAATTCTATTATTTTTTTATATTTAAAGCCCAGTTTACGAAAATATGTGGAATGAAATTCAGAGGATGTTTTCAAAGTATTTTTACAAAATAAAATAATGCTAGCAACTATGAGTCCTTTTAAATTGTTTATTTTTGTTCTCAACCTTTTTGTAATAATTCCAAACATCACATTGTCCGCTGTTCCACTTACATTTTATTGCACTCGTTTTGTACCAAGTACGGTTTTCTTCAACACATCAATTGCTAACATTGCATTAAAAGTTTCTGCATTACAAGGCCCTTGTGTAGAAATTTCTAGCACTGGGGAATATTTAAATGGAAGCACCTTTGCTGTAACTCAAATTACTTCTGCTGAGCCGCTGTGTTATAGTGATGTAGTGGGTGCTCAAGATACAAGAGGTAGTTCTGTTTGGTTCCTTTCTCCTCTAGGATGGGTTTGGTCTGGTTTGATGACCAATCCGAATTGGAATTTGTCTTGTTAAGTAGAATGATTTTCTTAACTTACTAATAGATGTTTCAACGATGCTTAATACTGTACATCTTTATGACTTTCTTAATAGATGTTTTAACTATCTCATCCTATACTTAGTACTAATTTTATAGTATCAATTATTCTTTTGTATGTATTATGATAGTTCAAATACAATAGATAATATTTAGCACTTTATTAAGAGTTACTCCATAAATCGTCTGAAAATGTTTTGATCTAGTCAAAATTCTAGAATTAAGATATTGTTTAATTTAACAAACATTAAAGACTTTAGAGGCTAATGCATCAAATAATCTAAATAATTATATTGCGAGCAATTATTATTTTGCAAAAATATTGACTCTAAATTAATAATTGATGCTTAAATTTTCTTCTTTAATCTCTTTATATGTGTGCTAAATCTATAAGCTCCTTAATTAATGGTATTAACAAGGTTGCATAGAACAAATAAATTTATTTCTTATTGTACCAAAGTTATTTGCAATATTTCTTAAATATATAAGTCTTGCAATAATAGCTTTATTTTGTCTTTGAAAATGGAACTATTCAAAGCTCTATTATAAGTCGTCCAATTAAAAACAAATTGCAAATTAAATTTGCGTCCAGTTTTTGGATTATGAAAGATAAACTGGATTAAATTAATAAATGACCACATGCTTCTGAGTTTCTCGAGCAGTCCATTTTTTATTATTTTTATCAACACCACTAAGATACATCAAATTAGAGTAAGATTCAAGATCGGAATTTAAATTTAAGTATCAGATTCAAATATAGAAATCATGAATAATGTTTAATTTTATTTCTGATTTTAAGTGACGTGAATAGCAAACAAAAAAGTTTTTTAGCCTCTGTATGAGATAAATAATTGTGGGGGAATGAAAAATAGTAGAATATGGGTGACTAGATTATTTACACAATATATGTAAATTTTGCAACTTATAAAATTAACTGAACTTTATTATTAATTTGATCTGAATCATATTATCGCTTTTGAAATTGTTGATTGATTAATTCAAATTCTTTAGCACTTCTCTTGCTAGCTATTATGTCATATTCTATTTTTTTAATCTTTTTATTTAATTCATTATCCCTTTTCTCTTTAGACCTTGAAAAAATTATTCGTTTGTTTAGCTCTATTATGAATTTAGACTTTTCGTGAATTAAATTTTTTAATTCTATATTTTCTTGAGTTAATTCATCTAATATTGTTTGCAAAATTTTTAGATCGCTATTGTTTTCTAACTCTTTAATTTGATCCTCTAACTTTAATTTTTTGGATTTAAAATTTATTTCCTTTTCCAAATCAGAATTTATTTTAGCTTTAATACCTTTCCTTAATGTATCGATAACATAGTTTACTTCTTTCTCTA